TCACACATTAGGGAACTCCAAGACATTTGGTTGGAATAGGTGCTTTGGAATCACCTGGAAGCATTGGGAAAATTCTAATGCCTGGGTCCCACCCCCAGAGGTTTTGATGTAGTGGCTTGGCCTGGGGTGGGGCCGTGGAGTCAGTAGTTGTTCTCAAGTGCGGGCAGGCAGCAGGCACAGGACAAGCCATGTAATAGAAGCTGCTGAAGAACTTGAACTTGGAGGAAGCAGTGGAGGATCTCTTTTAGGATACGGTCAAGAATCTGAGCTTGCGACGGGGACATAGAAAAGACTTGTGCAGAGCTCAGTGGAGAAATAAGGACCCTCCGGACTCCAACCATGGCCTCATCTGCCCTCATAACTGTTCCTTTGGAGCTGCTGTTGCTTATTCCCCATTTAAAAGTGAGAGTCAACTGGGAAATAACCAAACACATAATAAAATAAAAATAAGCTGAAAAATGACTCAATAAAAAGAAGCAATAAAATAGTAAAAGTGGGCCGATGCAGTAAAACCCCCAAAACTCAACCAAACAGAATCACCACCAAGGGCCAGGCAATAAAAACAACAGCTAACAACGTACTGGCCCAGTCGAACATCTCCATGCGCTGAGGCAGCTGAGCTTCACCACCACCCAGGATGGAGGGAGGATGATTGTTTCCATTTTACAGAGGAGGGAAATGAGGTTTGGGGAGATGAAGTGCGGTGCTCAAGGTCACGGTGGGCAGGGCAGGGTGATGACTGTATTTTTATCACAAGAAGATGGAGGTCAACTTGCCAAGACCTTAGAGCCAGTCAGGGGCACAGTAAGAAATTGAACTCAGATTTTTTTTTTTTTTTTTTTTGAGAAAGAGTCTCACTATATTGCTCTCGGTAGAGTGCTTTGGCATCACAGCTCACAGCAACCTCAAACTCTGGGCTTAAGCGACTCTCTTGCCTTGGCTTCCCAAGTAGCTGGGACTACAGGCACCCACCACAATGCCTGGCTATTTTTTTGTTGTAGTTCTCATTGTTGTTTAGCAGGCCCAGGATGGGCTGGTGCCCTAAGCACTGAGCTATGAGTGCCAAGCCTAAACTCAGATTTTTAAACTTAAGTCTAAAGCTCTTGTCCATCAATAAAGGTTGAAAACTTGCTGTACACTGGAGTCATTTGGAGAGCTTTGAAGACAAACAAACTGATGCCAGGCTGAGTGTGGCGGTTCACGCCTGCAATCCAAGTATCTTGGTAGGCTCAAGCAGGCAGGAGGATTGCTTGAGGCCAGGAGTTTGAGACCAGCCAGCCAGGGTAACATAGTGAGACACTGTCTCTACAAAGAAAACAAAACAAAACAAGACATATTGATGCCAAATAGACATTTCTTCAAAGAAGATGTACCAACAGGCCGATTGGTATTTTAAAAAATGGTCAACATCACTAATCATCAGGGAAATGCAAAACCACAATGAGACAACACCTCACACCTATCAGGATAGCTGATGTCACCCCCCCAAACAAAATCTCAAAAGACAATGAGTGTTGATGGTGAGGGGGTGGAGAAATGGGAACCCCTGTGCACTGTTGGCGTGAACGCAAAACAGTGTAGGTGCTACAGAAAACAGTATGGAGGCTCCTCAAAAAATTAAAAATAGAATTACCTTACGACCCAGCATTTGCATCTGTGGACATTTATCTCAAAGAATTGAAATAATGATCTTGAAGAAGAGATACTGGTGCTCTCATGTTCAATGTGGCATTATTCACAATAACCCAGAGATAGAAACGATGTAAGTGGCTCTGCACAGATGAATGGATAAAGAAAAGGTGGTGTATACACACAGTGGAGTTCTATTCAGCCTTACAGAAGAAAGAAATCCAGACATAGGCAACCATACGTATTCGCCCTGAGGTCATTATGCTAAGAAAAATAAGCCAGTCACAGAAAGACAAAGATTCCACTTAGAAGAGGTACCTGCGGTAGTGACATTCATAGACTCAAAGAGCAGAATGATACAGGTGAGGGGTTAGGGGGAGAAGGAAATGGGGGTTATTAATCCCTGTGCATAAAGATTCAGTCACGCAAGATTAACAAGCTCTGGAGATCTGGTGTGCAACATCGCACCTCTAGTCAACCATACCACACTGTTTGTTTAACAATTTGTTAAGAGCGCAGATCTCCTAAGTGTTCTTGCCATGGGTAAAAGCAAAGAAAAAGAAGGAAGGAAGAAAGGAAGGAAGGAAGGAAGGAAGGAAGGAAGGAAGGAAGGAAGGAAAGAAAGAAAGAAAGAAAGAAAAAGAAAAGAAAGAAAAAGAAAGAAGTCTTGATACTGG